AAAAGCCGGACATGTCCGGGAAAAAGAGGACGTATGGTAACCCTAGTTTCAGATCTAAGTCAACTAATGAATTTCACAGCAGATTTGACTGAGTTTTTGTTTCTTGTTTTTGGTTCATTCAAACCTGAAACTCAAAATAAAGGTTGGGGAATGCAAAATCAAGTGACCTGAAACTGGAAAAAAAATTGATTTGAACAAAGCCATATGATCTGAAACTACTATGTGTCATATATCTCTTCCCCGTGTTTCTCTTTCAACAACACTGCATTAGATTAGGTGGAGTTATGTACTCAGTTGTATGAAAAGTGTATTTAGAGTGATCAGTAATACAAATTCGGCCCAGCTATAACTCCACTGAGTTAGAAAGCACAACAAAGCATAGCCCCAAAGACCTTGGGAGAAGTAGGGAGGAAATTAGGGCATTGTGATGTTGAGAATTAACTCTTAGGAAGTTCTTCGGTGTTACAGTGATGGGTGCTGTTATAAAAGCCTGAATATAGAGAAAGGCAGCTGAGCTAATTCATTCCTATCTGTGTACTTTTGTTCCTAAATTTTTTTCTCTTCATAATGATTATGTATTCTTTAGGGAAGTGGAAAATCTCCTCAGTGTGGCTGCAGGTCATGGGCTCCAAGAAGCTCAGGAACTTTTAGACATCATCATCAGGAACAGAAATCTTCCTTGATGGACCCCAAAAGAGATGGCAGCACTCTCACCTTTCTACTCTTTTTATTTGGCTACTGTAGCACATCTTTTCTTCTTTGACTTTGATCAATTTCTGGTCATTTACTTTTAGAAACCTTAGATGAGACACTGCATTTGTCTTGCACTGGATCACTGTACTTAGAATGAATGGCATTTTGTATTGTATGATGCAGGAAGAAATACCATTATATTCAGCCATCTTGATTTAACATGACAGAACTTTGTCTTGAATCCAACTTGATCACCACTCAGCACAAATTTGCTCATACCTCAATCTTACAACAAGCTGCTATTCAATTTTATCATAGTACAAAGAGTGCTCTGGGGATGGGGAAAGGTAATAGAAGTGATCAGCATATAAATAGCTTTCCTTTTGTTTGTAGCTCACTACATTTGTACAGTGCTAGTGTCATTCGCTTGCAAGTAGCTGGGAGCAGCTTACATGCCATGTGCGTGAACAGCCCAGGAGTGCGGGTTCTCACAGCAGAGCAGGGTAAGGCTGGCTCCCAGAGTCAAAGATTGGAGAGGCCTAGCAGATCACTGGTCCAGATAACACCAGAAGGAAATGTTACACCTCCATGTTTCTTGTCTCAAACATTTATACCATCCTCAGGCCTAGTTCTGGGCCCAAGTAAAATGTTTTGCTTGTAAAAATAAGGAAGTTGAAGATATGTGTACTGCAGTGTCCGTGTTTCTATATATAAAACCATCTTTGTCATGTTTATGACTAAAATCACCTCCCCCCCCCCCAAATTGAAAACATACGCATAGTCCTACTGGGGACTAGAGCTCAACAAAGTGGTTGGTTGTAAACAATTCATTTCCCCCTTCCCCCACTACAGTTGGAAGCTGATTTTTCTCCATACAGTGTCTGCCACTACTTGCAGAGTGTAACAAAACCTGAGCCTCTTCTCCCTTCCCCTTAACATCAACATAAAAAGCAAAAGCAAAGGCAGAAGCAAAAAAAGTTCTCTGGCCCTAGAATCTGAATGGATCTTGTTTCCATTGCATATGACAATTACCAACCACAGGCCTGAGCCTTTGAAGGCGAGGGAAATCTTTCTATTGACGTTAGTGGGTTTTGTATCATGCCCCATGTCAACTGTTTTTAACTCCCCCCCCCCCCACTACACACACACCTGCTTTAGCTCCAGCACTGCAGTCCTTTCCTTTTATTTGAAAACTAGATCTGTGCTATATGTAAACAGCATGTTGTCAAACACTGATCTACCAATAAAGTACAATAAACACCATCTTTTCCAGTCATACAGTGTTCCCCAGGAGATTGTTCTTTTTCTATAGCTGTGAGCATAGAAAGCAGAAAACAGAGAGATAAGGAAGGGTAGGAATGGCTCAGAAATTGTATTCATCCTCTATGCTGCCTTGACTTATAGATGTCAGAGCAAAAGTAAAACTGCCTCACTCCTGGGTGAGCTCAAATCTGTCCTGATTTTAATGGTCCTCTTAGGTTAAATATCTCCTGCAGTGTTACAACTGATGCTTAATGGAAAAATCTATCATAGCTGTGACACTCCTCCTAGGTTCCCTCTCATGCTGTGAGACCGCCTGGCGCTACAGTAGCTAATATGAAGCTGCAAAAAGACAGTTAAAAAAAAATCACCCCAGCTAAGACTCTAAGATGCTGTAGTGTAGCAACATCAAAAGGTGCTTCTTACATTGAGTGTGTATGTGTGTAGGTGGAATGGGTCATCTGCAGAGCCGGTGCAAGGATGTTTCACGCTCTAGGAGAAACTTCCACCTTGCGCCCTTCCCCCTCCCCGAGCCCTGCAGCAGCTCCCCCCCCCGCCCTGAGGCACCCCCCTGCAGCAGCTCCCCACCCTGCCC